GTGGCACGCAGATACACGGCCTTATTAGCTCGCCGGTGGGGTTGGGTTCATCTACTGTCATGTTTGTAAATCCACTGAACATAATAAATACATAAAACAAATTGCGTGCACTAAAATTTTTCTTCGAGTGTACTTGTTAATGATTGAACGAAAAGATACACCATGATTTCTAAACTCGAAGATACAATTTGGTGAAAAAAATTAAAATAGAGCTAGATATTTCCCAAAGGGGAAGGAGAAGAAGTAAAAAGGTAGGAGACAAACTGATGAGTGAGAAAGACGACACTACAAATGATCCAGAGCTACAGCTGTTGATGTGCTCTTGCGCCCTCCCAACCATGGTCACATTAATAACTAATCCAAACGGAGATAAAAGACATTTTAGTGACCCCCAGGACCTCATGAAGCAAGCAACTTTATACGGGGAAATCAAAAAGTTAAAAAAAAGTGATCTACTCAGAATTCATAATTAATTTTATTTTCATATTAAAGGATTTTACAAAAAAAAAAAAAAAAAAAACAGAATCCTTAACCTTAATCATAACTAGAGTTTCAAATTAAAAATAAAATAAATTGTAGATTAGATTTATGAAAGTACACATTTGCGAACGCCAAAAATGTAACTTGCATTGCGATGAGCTCAATATAAGTATTTGTTCTAACAATGGAAAAAATAATATCTATCAATTATGCATGCAAAAACTAAATAAACAATTTAGAATAAGAAACGTAATAAATCCAAAAGCTGTTTATGTTTGAACCAGTTACTATTATTGCTTATCAACTTCTTACGCAGCAACTCAAAATATTATGATCCCAAAGATAGTTGAGTCGAACTGATTATGACTTTCATCAATCAACAAAACCTTCTTCAGGGTATCACTTTCAAACCCGATCACAAAAATAAAAAAAAAAAACAGAAAACAAAAATGTAAATAATGTAGCAGAGATAGATAGAAGCCAAAGAACTCAATTGGTGTATTCTTTTGCTTTATTTCTTTGACGATACCTCCATGATACCAACAGTTGTTCATAGTATGTAATCAAAACAAAAATGATAATAAAAACTTACTTGGTCATTTTGTGGCTCCCACGCAGAAAGTACTTTCGGCGAATTCAGGGTGTAATTACTGACCTTTACAGGGTAATGTTAATGATGATGTTATGCTGGCAAGAGAGGCATGTTAAGTTAACAGTATATGATTTAGAATAAATGAGAATGTGTTCGAGATCGGTTGCTGAATATTGATGTTGATAATGAGAGTCGTCCCTGAATGGTTCTCAATTAATCATGACCAGCGTTTTTCTGTCTCATCAAAGACTATCTTCTACATCACTTACACCATGTAATAAAGAAGAATGGAATAATTTTAGTAATGATCATTAGACCATGTAAGTGAAAAAAAAACATGTGGTAATTGATGTAGATGATGATCTTTGATGGATTATAACTGTATCACTTAACAAACCAATAAATTAAACTTTTGATTTTATAAATATAAAATATAATTAAATATGAATATTTAAAGAATCACAATCACTTTAAAATTATATTCTAATTATTTTTACTGATGTGGTAGACAAATAATCTCGCGTAATTTTTCTTAATCACTGGGGTATAACACTATTAATATTGTTTGATTTGAAGTTTTCGTTTTAAAACAAATTACTTGCTTATGATTTATGTTTGATAACTGATCTCTTTACACATTTGATCCTACCATAAAAAACTTCCACCAGATTCACAAGGTGATATCTAGCTGATCTGGTTGAATATATCCCGATTCGTGCCGAAATTGGTTTTTTCTTCATATCTTGAAAATAAAGCAGTTTGTAATAATACATCAAATTTCACATTTCTCCCATATTTCTGGTTATTGATTGACACAGGGCATTTGCCCGTCTTGATGTAATCGACGCTGTTGGAGTAAAAGTTAAAAATCACACTGACGCTGCGTTGCGGTTTGGGAATATGTGAGGCCGAAAAATGTGTTTTGTGAGAACAAAAGCTTTTGTTCAATAAGATCTCTTCCTTCACAAAACAATTGTTGTAATCAAATGCGAGTCTAGTAGAAAGAAATAAATGATTGAGGAGAGAAACTAAATAGGGTTTCTTAGAACTTTTAGGAAATAATGTTTGATTTACCTTCCTCTTTGACTATGGATTTTATTCCATAGGGTAATTGCTAAAGAGATTCAAAGGCTATCATCCAAATGCATAAAATTATGTGGCCACTAAACAAATTGTATGCTTTGATAAATATTATTTAATAATATTTGCAAATTTAGATTTTCTTACAGTCACACAACCAAAATTATAACCGCAACTTGAACTGATTTAATGACTTTCTGAAGGTGAACAAGGTTATTTTTAGAAATTTTTGGATGAACTATATTCTTCCTCTTAAGGGTTAGATGACAAAATGGACGATTCTATCTAATCTTTATCAGCTTGAACCCTCGGCAATTACAAATGCTAGCGAGTTAATTCCAGTATTTGAGTAAAAATGTAGCACACAAATAGTAGCGAGAAACGAATGCGCTTATGGATAAAGTGTTGCCTTATAACAACTTCATATCCAGGTGGCATTTCAAAATACGTTACAGTAGGTATTTTTAAGTTTGGTTTTAATTCCAAAAAAAAAAAACAAAAGAATGAAGAAACAATCCAGTAGGGCAAGCGCCACTACATAATCCGAATATATCGCGATCTATTTAATTTTCGTAAGCGGATCTAATATAGCATAAAATCATGCTTCTAAAGGCTTCCTAATTACAAGTCATTACATACTTTTATTAAAATTGAATAGGACGACTAATAATTTGAGAGCGCTTAGAACGGTTCCTGTTCTGCGATAGTCTACAGGGTGAGATAAAAAAAAAACTGCAACAATGTCAAACGCCATAATTTTATTTTTAAATTTTATTCAATGAAAGCAAAAAAATGTCGGAAATAGCATCAAATTTTAGAATAATTTTAGATTTCTTCGAATTGGTCACCTTTGGCACGAATTATGGCCTTAAAACGGCAAATTAAACCGCCACACGATGCCCGAATGTTGCTCTGCGGTATTTAGGCCCATTTCCGGCGAAACGCTTGCTTGAGGTGATCGGCACATTGGTATTTTTTAGTGCCAACCTTGCTTTCCAAAATACTCCAAACACAATAGTCCAAGGGATTGGTATCCGGAAATGAAGAGAGGAACCTCATTTTGTAACCTTTCTTGGGTCGCCGTGCTGAGTGCGATGGTGCTGAGTCCTGTTGGAATGTCCAAGGTCTGCGGCCAAAATGTTTGCGTGCCATTAAAGGCTGCCCGAATGTTGCTCTGCGGTATTTAGGCCCATTTCCGGCGAAACGCTTGCTTGAGGTGATCGACACATTGGTATTTTTTAGTGCCAACCTTGCTTTCCAAAATACTCCAAACACAATAGTCCAAGGGATTGGTATCCGGAAATGAAGAGAGGAACCTCATTTTGTAACCTTTCTTGGGTCGCCGTGCTGAGTGCGACGGTGCTGAGTCCTGTTGGAATGTCCAAGGTCTGCGGCCAAAATGTTTGCGTGCCTTTAATGGTTTAGAATATTTTCGCGATAATATTTGGCATTTATTCTGATGCCACGGTCGATTAATTCGAGCGGAGAGCGACCATTGGCTGTTATGGCTGCCCACACCATCACCATGGTCGGCGCTTGAGTTCTGGTGGCCAATCAAAGATGCACATTTTCAGCTGACTTCTTTGGCAAGTAAACACGATCATTTTGTTTGTTTACAAACTGCTGGACAACGAATGTTTTCTCATCGGAGGAAACCAAATTCGGCAGTTCACCACTCTCGGCCAAGCGAAGCAACTCTTTAGCTCTTTTGAGTCTATTTTCTTTCTGTCGCGAGCTCATTTTTCAATATTTGCCGTATGGAATATTGCGATATGTTCAGCTCACGATCCATTTTTCGGCCATTGCACTTGGGTTTCGATCAAGTCGCTTCTTTACTTTTCCAACCATTTCGGCTGATGTTGCTGTTTTGTTCCGTCCACTTCCTTGACGTCGGGCTACGCTACCAGTGTATCACGGTAACGAGCGATGGCACGAGACAAAAAAGATTTATTCACATTTAAATGCTGGAGTGCTCCAACGATAGCCACTTGAGTTTTTCCAGCCAAATATAAACCAATCACACAAAATGTTTTTATACCGTTGTAAACAACATAATGAGCTGCCACTGGAATAATTTTAACAACTGTCGGACGAGTGACTTAGAAATGACAGCAGTCTGAATTTGGTTGCAGTTTTTCTATCTCACCCTGTACATTTTGGGTTAAAGACCGCAGCAACATACCTTGCATAACATAGATTATTTTATGTAAATGTTGTGTTTATTCCCCGTAAAGTCCACCTTATTTCCATCAACAAAAAATAACACTTTTGAAAAATTCCTTTGGTACTTCCTATGAAGTATAATTAACACATGCCTTCTCATAACTCATACTCACTGTGTTATCATAATTATACGACCACAATCATACGCACACACACATACACATGGATACAAGAAAGGTAAATTATCCTTGCATAAGAATATGCAAATAAGCTACACATTCTATTCAATTAAAACATTGATTTTCTCACATTCCATTCTTTAGGCGAAGGAGGGATGGAGAGAGGGGAGGGGGGCTAAGTGCATGGAATTATTCATTTAAATATTTTCTCCAAAGTATCCATTTTAATTGTTGAAATGTTTGCATAAGGATATCTGTTTGTTTGTTGTTTATTATCCTTTTATATAAGTCCTTAAGAAGTTGTGTGTTTTAGTTGCAGTTTTTGCTCATCACATTTCAGGTTTATCTCTTAAGATATTATTCCATGTTGATAAGCAGTATTTTAAGACATTTTGAAATTTAATTCATTTTATTTTTTCCTGCAATCATGATTTTGTTTGCATAACTGTTGTTAAGCTTCTTAAAGTGCATTTTATTTATTATTGTCATCTCTTTTTGCATTGCAGACAAACACTTCCAGAGGTCAATCCCCATATCCGCCATCACAAGGTCAAAACTCAGGTTCCTATCCAAGTTCGCCCCAGCAACAACAGCCACAGCCGGGACAGCAACAACAACAACAGCAGCAGCAACAAACTCAGCAACAACAACAGCAACAGAGTAGTAGTGGTAGTGGTGGCGGTAGTGGAGGTGGTCCACCACCGCCGCCACAATCTTCAAATCAAGGCACAACACCATCTCAATATTCACCATATCCCCAGAGATATCCAACACCGCCTGGCCCGGCGACAGGACCAAATCATCGAACTGCCTACACGACGCATCAGGTGAGTAGAGGGTACCATCCCTCCCAAAATAGGAGAACAAAACTATTTATTCTGGAATGTCATATTCATTTTTGGCGTGGATTGGAAATATTGAAAAAACTGTGTTTTATAGGAGTGGAGAAAAAAGTGGGGGTTTTTAGCAATAAATCTTTAAATAGGTATTTGTGCCACAGATTATCAACTCTAAATAGAAGAATTCTTGGATAGGGATAAAAATGTGCATACCAAGAAGGAAATCTTATATATCAAGCATAGGTTCGAAAGTAGATTCGAAATATAAGGGCAATTTTTTAAGGGGATTAAGTCCGACATGACTTCATTGTAAAATAACAAAGGAGCGTAGGGTGGGCTAAAATTGAACGAATTCAACCTAAAGCTCCTTTGTCCTTTTACGAAAATGCCAACCGATGACCTTAGGATAAGCAACCAGTAGTTGAGCCGAGCTGCAAAAATCCACGCTGCATAGCTGGTAAAACAGGAAACCGTTTAAAACACCATCATCTTCGATGTCCCCTCTCTTGCACAGGCTCCATCTGTAAAGACGTAGCCTCCTCCCAAGAGTGCAATGGTCACTCACGCCGTTACTCCAACTGTCTCATATGCAGCTTCTCAAGGCAAGGAAAGTCTTCTACAGGAAAGTCTACTTCTAAACCCGTCGGTCTAAAGAGGAAAAAACCATGCGAGAGAAGAACGGCTGCTTTGGCATCCATAGACGAACTCCGACTAGCAATCATTGGCATGGCTGACCCGGAAGTTGAAATCTTTGAAGTAGCCAGCCAGAAAAGTGGTATTGGCGTGGGTTCCACCTACAGAATGGAAAATCAACTGCAAAATTCAGATCTCCCACAGGGAATTGGACCCTAATTAGTTCAACCACCTGTGGGTTGAATGGAGGACTGTAGACAAGGGTAGTAGTGGTGGCGGTAGTGATAATGGAGGGGCCGTAGACAAGGGTAGAGAGGACTTCTTGCGGCCACGAGAGGGGAAGCTGAACTTCGGATCAGGATGGATGCGATTCCATCTATATCCTCCTCATCCGACTCAGCAGGGGGCGACCGTGTGGAAACTTTTTTTTTTTTGATTTTGGTTTTCATGTATGTTTGTGTGTAGTAGCAGCTGGAGGAAGGAGGAGTGTGTACAAAAGCCAAGAAGTGGAAAATTGCAGAAGCAAGAGCCGGTGGATATTGTGTACAAAACAACAAAGCAACAGCAATGTCATATGCTTTGCTGGTAGAGATTAGCGACACATCGACGTAGCCAAAAATGCCTTCTGAAACCATTTCGTGAGGGCCCAACCGAAAAAAATCAGATTTTCAAGGGAAATGCTCTAAAAATATCTGAACTACGTTGGTGCTTCAATATATTTGATTTTGTTTCGTTTACAGCGGTAGATTTAGAAAATAACAGGCTGCTTGATTTCAATCAAAATTTAATTCTCACTCGAAAACTAGCAAAGAAAACACGCTCGCGTGTGCCACCAAAAAATATATTGTGTACGAATTTCTTCTACTCTCAGGAGTGCTCTCTCACAAATTCGATGAAGATTCACTCTTTACTCGAATTCGAGCGAGCATTTCGGAAGCATGGTGCTTTTAGTCTCGCTCCTATTATGCAATTCAGCATTTTCCATGCAGTTTCCTCGCCGAAAAAAAAAATAGTAAAAATCATAAAAATAAAAAAAAGAAACTATTTTTCAATTAACCCCTTGCGCACCCACATAAAATGCAAGTGGTTTGTGTCTTTGCTTTTGTTTTTTAAAATTTATCTTCACTGGTATGGCGCTTCTATTGTATGTGTAAAGATGTACCCTCCGAAAATTTTCTCTGGAGTTTCAGACTTTCCGGATAGCGTCTATAGGTGGAAGATCTACGAGCTTTATTAACCAAAATAAAGACCTTGTGTCTTCATCCTATTATTATATCTGGTTCTCAAATATGACGATTTAAATATGATATGATAGAGAACAAAATTGAAGTCTGTTAATGCTCGATCCATCATCATCGACATTTCCATTGTGTAATTCATTTGATTTTTCGATTGTTCGTCCATTTTCCTGTACATCTGACATTATCGAACATTTGTCCTATCACTCATCAGTGTAGTATTCTCTTTCTCCTCCTCCTCCTCCTGCAAACAAACATAATATTGTGGATTCATCCTCTGTGGATATCTCTCCCCCTTCTTCCCTGTCCACCCCACACCACCCCATTCCATTCTCATTCATGTTATACATTTTTAATTCATTTTCAATGTTCGATGATTTCTCTGTAATTTTGAGTTCATAGTCTGTCTCTCTGTCGTTTGGTCAGTCACTTGGTTTGACGTATTCATATTCATTTGTTTGTCATTCAGTCGCATTTACACAATCGTTTTATGTTCGTGCGTGTGTGTGCCGCCCATTTCCTAGGTGTAAGTACGAGTGTGTGTGTGAATGTGTGCCTTCAGGATATTCATTATTTTTTAAACTTTCATTCGAAATAGTTAATTAGTATTGGAATTGAATGCCAAAAATAAAATTGAATTCTTTTGCATTATTGATTATCCAACAATCATCGACGAGCAGCCGAATGATGAGTATAAAATTATGGCATTGTTAGAGGTGGTGACAGTAGTAGGAGTTATGACGGGTGGATGGGTGTAATGTCCTAAATACAGGGTTAGATGAAAAAACTGCAACCAACTTTCGACTGCTGTCATTTCTAAGCCACTCCTCCGACATCTGTTAATATTATTCCAGTGAAAGCTAATTATCATTGTTTACAAGCGCACAAAAGCATTTTCGTGAGAATTTTCCTGAAAAAAAAGTTATTCGTTACGGAATTCAAGCTTGATAGTGTTATTTCTTTATATTTGACGGAAAAACCACAAGTGGCTATCGGTAGAGCAGTCCAGCATTTAAATGTGAATAAATCTTTTGTGTCTCGTACCATCGCTCGTTACCGTGATACTGGTAGCCCGACTTCAAGGAAGTGGACGGAAGAAAATAGGAACATCAGCAGAAATGGTTCGAAAAATAAAGAAGCGACTTTATCGAACCCCGCGTCGCAGTGGCCGAAAAATGGCTCTTGAGCTGAACATATCGCAATTTTCCATTCGGCAAATATTGAAAAATGAGCTCGGGGTAAAGTCATTGAAATTCGAAAAGGTGCAAGAACTTACACCGCAGCAGAAAGAAAATATACTCAAAAGAGCTAAATGGTTCTTCGCTTGGCCGAAAGTGGTGAACTGCCGAATTTGGTTTTCTCCGATGAGACAACATTCGTTGTCCAGCAGTTAGTAAACAAACAAAATGATTGTGTTTACTTGCCAAAAAGGTCAGGATCAGCTGAAAATGTGCACCTTCGGTTGGCCACCAGAACTCAAGCGCCGGTCATGGTGATGGCTTGGGCCGCCATAACAGCCGATGGTCGCTTTCCGCTCATATTAATCGACCGTGGCATCAGAATAAATGCCGAATATTATCGCGAAAATATTCTGGAGGGTGTATTTAAGCTTTGGGCACGCCAACATTTTGGTCACAGACCTTGGACATTCCAACAGAACTCAGAACACGCGCCATCCAAGAATGGTTACAAAATGAGATTCCTCGCTTCATTTCCAGCGCACAATGGCCACCAAAATCTCCGGATAACAATCCGTTGGTCTATTGTGTCTGGAGTATTTTTTGGAAAGCAAGGTTGGCACTAAAAAATACCAAAGTGTCGATCACCTCAAGCAAGCGCTTCGCCGTGTATGGCCCAAAATACCGCAGAGACACATTCGGGCAGCGTGTGACAGTTTCATTGGCCGTTTGAAGGCCATAATTCGTGCCAAATGTGACCAATTCGCACAAAACTAAACTTTTTCTAGTGATGACAAAGCAAATAAATATTGCCAATTAGAAGGGGGCAATAGCGTCGCGACGGAGAGACTAATGACGTTTCATCTTTTTTTTTAACACAGAAGCGATAATATTTTGATGACGAAGTTTGTTTATTTATTCTTTTTATTTTTTTGTGGTTCAAAGAGCAGATGGAAATCGGCAATAAAATATAGAATGCGAATAATACCTACTCAAACCACGTTGTGAATTCCTCGACCATTAATACATGCTCACAGAAATAGATAATTAAAGAATACAATCTAATAATCAATTGGCGGTGCCGGCGGTGTATTATGAATATAATTATCAAAACAAACAGGGCAATAATGTTAATTAGGAGATATTGGGGGATTTGTAGTCGCGAGACTTGTATATTTAATATATGAGTCCTCTATACAACAACATAAGTAGATTGTAGCCAATTGATTTGATATCGATATTGAAAGTTTAAGACAAAGTTCCGAGCAAAATTGTCAAAAAAAAAAAAGAACGAAAATCCCTAATATTTGGGAACCTGTAGATCTAAGTTCTAAAGTTCCGTACATACAATATGGCTATTGGTCATATGGCTACAGGATATTTGGAGTCGATCTAGGGTTGTCCGTCTGACTGTCTGCCCCCCTGGTGGCCCTTTGTGGGGAGGTACTTGACTTTGTTGCAGTTTTTTTTATCTTACCCTGTATTTAAAATTGTCGACAAAATAAGTTACTAGGCAAGTTGAAAATTTTTCGAGCCAGGAATCATTGAATGATTTTTCATTCCAGAAAAAAAAAATTATGAAAGAATTTGAAAAAATACCAGGTGTTTTAAATACCCACAGACAAAAATAGAAAAGAAAGTGAACCAAACTAAGTAACTCCATTTGAATTCGATATACGTCATAATGTCATGGTCCCGACCAGCACGGCGCCCAATCAATTTTAATAAAGGATTAATTTTATTCATAGAATTATATTTATTTTTTGCTGCACTCCAACAAGTAACAACAAAAAACAGCTGTGTGTGAACACACGCACACACACCACCATTATCAGGCCAAGCATGCCCTCTCGCCAGAGAAAAAAAGATGCCAGAGAAAAAAAGAAACAAGGACACATAACAGAAAACATTCCTCTCGGACGTGCTTTTTTCCACACAATGTTTTTTGCACTTTCATTCGTTCTATCAAAAATGCGGCAGCCACAAACCAGAAAAACAAAAAAAAAAATGGTTTTCCTCTGAAAAACACACACAAGAATAAAAAACGTTCCTGGGATAATGCAATTTGTTTCAACATTAGCTATTTTTGTAGAGCAAGCAAAACCAACAAAAAAAACGTAGACATTTTTTCTCAAACAATTGCAATATTTTGTTGGTTGTTTTACTCCCCTGGTTCTCTCTCTCTCTTTCTCTGTCTATTGTACTTTTAATTTTTTTAATAAATATTTTCCACAATGTTTGAATTCATGGCTGTGTTCTGGGAAAACATCAGCTGAATTATTAATTTGTTTTCTGCATTTGTGTAATTGTTTAATTCAATTGCATTTTTTGTTAATTTGTTTTTGTTTTTGCAGTATCCGGAACCAAATCGGCCTTGGCCTGGCGGTTCATCGCCTGCTCCTAGTCCTGGCCCCGGTAGTCATCCCCTGCCACCAGCATCACCTCATCATGCCCAGCACGGTGGTCCACCGCCAAGCAGTAGTCCGAGTCATGCGCCAAGTCCGTCACCGCAACCTTCGCAAGCCTCGCCGTCACCTCATCAGGTAAGTGAAGAACTATTGAATTTTAATGTTGAAAATAAATGTAAAAAGTATTGAATCCTACCAGATAATTATTTAAAATAAGGATTCATTTAAAATATTGGAATAAAATGTGAACTCTACGAATATTTATGCATCATGGTATTGCATAGTAATACTGAATAATTTTGTGGGATAGTCTTCTGTGCGAAATAAACACAATGTATGGAACGGAAGCTTTTAACTTCCGAATACTAATTTATGGAGGACCACCTTTATGTTAGGACTTTTTCGCAACAAATCTACACTGAACTTTTTGCGAAGAGGTGTACAAGCAATTATGATTTCAAAACATCAAACTACAGTTACTTCGGCGGAAAAATGTGAATAGGGCCTATAAGGGACTTTTGTGGACCCGAAAGCTCCATCGAATGTGATTTTGTATGCTTGATAACATTACAGGGTGAGATAAAAAAACTGCAACAAATTCAAACGCCATAACTTTTACATTTTTTTAATTTTATTGAATGAAAGCCAGAAATGTCGGAAATAGTATCACATTTCTAGAATATGTTCAGATTTGTTCGAATTGGTCACCTTTGACACGAATTATGGCCTTCAAACTGTCAATGGAACCGTCACACACTGTCCGAATGTTGCTCTGCGGTATTTTGGCCCATTCCCGGCGAAGTGCTTGTTTGAGGCGATCGACACTTTGGTATTTTTTAGTGTCAACCTTGCTATCCCAAATACTCCAGACACGATAGTCCAACGGATTGCTATCCGGAGATTTTGGTGGCCAATGTGCACTGGAAATGAAGCGAGGAACCTCATTTTGTAACCATTTTTGGGTCTGTGGCCAATATGTTTGCGTGCCCAATGGTTTGATACACCCTCTAGAATATTTTCGCGATAATATTCGGCATTTATTCCAACGTCACGGTGGATTAGTACGAGCGGAGAGCGACCATCGGCTGGTATGACGGCCCACACCATTGTGCGCTGGAAATGAAGCGAGGAACCTCATTTTGTAACCATTCTTGGGTGGCGTGTGCTGAAGGCTATGGTGCTGAGTCCTGCGTTTGGGTACCCAAGGCTTTAATGCAACCTTCAGAATATTTTTGCAATAATATTCGGCATTCAATCTGATGCCACGGTCGATTAATACGAGCCGGGAGCGATCATCGGCTGTTATGGCGGCTCACACCATCACCATGGCCGGCGCTTGAGTTCTGGTGGCCAACCGTAGGTGCACATTTTCCGCTGGCTCTAACCTCTTTGACAAGTAAACACGATAATTTTGTTTGTTTATAAACTGCTGGACAACCAATGTTTTTTCATCGAAGAAAACCAAATTCGGCAATTCCCCACTTTCGGTCAAGCGAAGCAACTCTTTAGCTCATTTGAGACTGTTTTCTTTCCGTTGCGGTGTAAGTTCTTGCACTTTTTGGAATTTCAATGGATTTACCCCGAGTTAATTTTTCAATATTTGCCGTATAAAATATTGAGATATGTACAGCTCACGAGCCATTTTTCGGTCACTGCGACGCGGGTGTCGATCAAGTCGCTTCTTTCCTTTTCGAACCACTTATGCTGATGTTGCTGTTTTCTTCCGTCCACTTCCTTGACGTCGGCCTGCTCTATCAGTATCACGGTAACTAACGATAGCCACTTGTGGTTTTCCAGCCAAATATAAAGAAATCACACTATCACGCTTGAATTCCAACACGAATAACTTTTTTTTCTGGAAAATTCTCCCCCAAAATACTTGGGTTCACTTGTGAACAATGCTATGAGCTGTCACTGGAAAAATTTTAACAGCTGTCGAACGAGTGGCTTAGAAATGACAGCAGTCTGAAGTTGGTTGCAGTTTTTTCATCTCACCCTGTAGAATCAGAAAGTGAGCGCCTGATGTTGCATTGTGGCGTCCAACGTCATTTACATGCATTACATCCCAACAAGTACCTATAAGTGTTACAATTTGTGTTGGGTCATTAAGAAATTTTTGCAAACACAATTTTATTATGTTTGCCAAGCAAAACTGAACACCACAGACTTCCCTGCCATTAATGTGTGCGGTGACTATTCCACGACAAATCATGCAAAACCACCACGAAATAATTCAAAATTCACTCTTTTTGTCTTAAAATGCAAACCACCGAGAACCCGAATGAAATATTAATGATTTTCTTGTGTTCATGTTGTTGTCGTACATGACTAAGGTGTGTGTATTTTACTGACTGACGGACACTTAAATTTATGAATGCGTTGTTTGCCAAAAGTGACGCCAAGAGTGAACTACCGGTCGATTTTTGTTAATAGCTATTTTGAAATTGGGACAAAACATGGGCTTTTGCATTATTTCCTTTAGAATTGTTTACAATTCAATATTAAGGGATAATTTATACCCTACACCACATAGTGGTACAGGTATTATGTCTTTGAGCATTTGTTTGTAACATGGAGAAGGGAGCGAGTTAGACCCATAGTTTCTTTTGAGAATCTTCATAGAATCACTTTCTGAGTCGATTTTTGATGATTCTTGTGAACCAAATGCAGGTCGAACTTATTATCCGATTGAGATGAAATTTTTCATAGAGATCGGATCATATTTGGATGTAGCTCCCATATATGTCTTTGTCCGATTTCAGGTTTATTGTGCCAACATCAGCCCAAATGGAGTGAATGTGACACTTTCGACCGAATTCAGCCCAGAAGCAAGTACTTCAAATTTTGGTGAAAATCGGCTCAGATATAGCCATAGCTCCCATATATATGTTTCATTCGATTTGGTGTTTTAAGTCCCTGACATGCGTAATATGCACTTCACAAGAATGATATTTGGTACCAGATATCATATGCAGCTCAAAAATAAGTGCCTAAAATTTTCAGGATCGGTCCAGATTTGGATATAGCTCCCATATATATCATTATCAGATATCATGTTTAATACGCACGAAATGGCTAATATCAGCCCAAATTAACTGAATTCCGTCTGAATTCACCCTAGAAACAAGTACTTCAAATTTGTTGAAAATCGGTTCAGATATAGCTATAGCTCTAATATATATGTTTCATCCGATTTGGGATTTTAAGTCCCTCACATTTGTAAAATGCACTCCACAAGAATGATATTTGGTACCAGATATCAGATACCACTCAGAAATAAGTGCCTTAAATTTTATCAAGATCGGATCATATTTGGATATAGCTCCCATATATAACTTATTGTTAGCCACCAGGCTAATAACAGACCAAATGAACTGAATTTTAGCAATTTCGACTGAATTAATCCTAGAAACAAGTACTTCACATTTGGTGAAAATCGGTTCAGATTTAGCTATATCTCCCTTATATATATTTCATCCGATTTGATGTCAAAGTCCCTCACATGCGTAATATGCACTCCAGAAGAATGATATTTGATATCGGACATCAAATACAGCTCGAAAATACTTTTGCCAAATTGTATCGAGATCGGTTCAGATTTTTATGTACCTTCGATATACTTCTATACTATACAACATATGACTTAACCAAAATTATCATACCACCCACATTCTTCTGGCTATTCAAACATATGCGACCAATGCAACTTTATGGGCAAATGAAAAATATATATCTCATTTGATTGTTTGGTCACGAATAGACGCGCAATGCCACTGACGTCGTCGCCACCACCACCACCTTAATCACCATCACCACTTGATGACAGAGTTGTTTGGGGTGACTCATTGCAAAAACTGGGCTATTGGCCATAGATGTTTTCTCAGTATTCTGTGGACTGACTGACTGACCCCCTGCACCGCCTGTAAAAAAGCGACGCAATCATTTGTCTATCCAATTATTTGCTGGCTGTCTATTGTCGGTGTTCGGTGTCCTCCTCCTGGTGCTGGTGGTTGTGGCGTGCCAATAGAGCAGCATAGTCATCAATCTGAATATGAATATACACAAGCGCTAAACAAAGCAAAAAAGCGAAAAAACGCATTCCGCATGCAAAGCCTCAGACAATCAAATCTATTGTTTATTCAAATTGACAATACAGTTATTTATGGTTTTTTGTTGTGTCTGTCTCTCGCTGTTGGTCTGCCTGCCTCTCTGTTTACCTTAGCTATCGTCATCGTGCTCTATGCATGATTATCGTTTCATTTCTAATGTTTGCCGGCCTGGCTCGACGCGGCCATGGTTCAAATGCGTTTCATATTTAGTTCTGCTGCTGCTGTTAGCTATTCTCTCAATGATTCACATTTTCGTTGATGTGGATCGCAAACTAATGACATTTAACGGATTTCGTATTTCAAATGCGCTGCCATGCCCACTTTTCCGGTTTATGCTTGACAAAGTGATTTTGATTTGAAATTTGTATAGACACTTGGGTTTTTGTCAAGCGAAGTTATTACTAGAAATTAGATGACAATTATGCATAATTTTTTTACTTTATGATAAATGCAGTTGAAAAGGCTTAACAATGCGTAAAAGGAGTACGAACTGAATTTAAAAAGAAAAAAGATATCCTATGCGGTTTATTAGACACATTTGGACGAAACCAATTAGAGGCATGGTTCGCTGCTATGTTGACTTTTAAAAAATACCATATATTTTGACATTTTTTTATACCCTCCACAATACACACATCGAAATAAATATTTTAGACCCAACAAAGTATATATATTCTTGATCAGCGTAAAATTCCAAGATGATTTAGCCCTGTCCGTCTGTTGTAATCACGATACAGTCAAAACGAATTAAGATAGGAAACTAAAATTACACAGCAAAATGAACAGATTTGTCTTTTGTCTGCAGGCATGTCAAGTTCGAAGATGGGCTATATCGGTCCACGATATCGTATAGCCCCTATATAACGGTACCCCCCGATATTCGGTATTTTAATGATTTTGGCCACATTTTTCAATGGAATTGTCTGAAAATCCACACAAGGGGTTCTTTCTGAGTACTTAACTCTTTGGAAGAGAATTGTTTATACAGGTCCACAATATCGTATTGCCCCCATACAACGGTACGCC